TTTACTTTTTAAAAAATATTTATTTATTTATTTATTTATTTATTTATTTGAAGTATAGTCAGTTGTATCAATGACAATGTTGTATCAATTTCTGGTGTATAGCATAATGTTTCAGTCATACATATATTCACTTTCATGTTCTTTTTCATTATAGGTTACTATAAAATATTGAATATAGTTCCCTGTGCTAATGCGGAAGAAACTTGTTGTTTATCTATTTTATATATAGTATTTAGTGTCTACAAATCTTGAACTCCCAATTAATCCCTTCCCACCCACTTCCCCCCGGTAACCGTAAGTTTGTGTTCTATGTGTGAGTCTGTTTCTGTCTTGTAAATAAGTTCATTTGTGTCTTCTTTTTTTAGATTCCATATATAAGTGATATCATATGGTATTTTTCTTTCTCTTTCTGTCTTACTTCACTTAGAATGGCAGTCTCCAGGTCCATCCATATTGCTGCAATTGGCATTATTTTATTCTTTTTTATGGCTGAGTAGTATTCCATTGTATAAATATATCACAACTTCTTTATCTAGTCATCTGTCAGTGAGCATCTAGGTTGTTTCCATGTCTTGGCTATTGTAAATAGTGCTGCTATGAACATTGGGGTGCATGTATCTTTTCAAATTAGGGTTCCCTCCAGATATATGCCCAGGAGTGGGATTGCTGGATCATATAAGTCAATTTTTAGTTTTTTGAGGAATTTCCGTACTGTTTTCCATAATGGCTGCACCAAACTACATCCCCACCAGCAGTATAGGAGGGTCCATCCTTTTACTTGTAACTCACTGTTCCTTTCAACTCCTTTGGCCATTCACTCGTGGGTCTTCTGCCTGGGTCTTTCTCTTATCTGACACCCTTCCAGCTTAGCCCCCTGAATTATTTCTAACTTGGATGCTCTTTCCCCCACCACCCTTTTATGTAGCAAATATCTGGCAGAGAGAAGGGACAGAGAGGCTCCTGACTTGTCACCATCTTGAGGACAGCTCAGAATAATCCATGGAGTCCTGTTCTCACGGAGAAACTTGAAAAGGGAGAGGAGACTTTGGGATCTGAGCTCCCATCCCCTGGCCTCTCTCCTCAGTGCTAGAACATGGGATTAAGTATCTGCTTTGCCCATTAATGATGAATAAGAATCAAACCAATCAAAACATTTCTTGGAAGATGAAAACTGCAACAGGATAAAAGGGAAACAGGCTGGGAGTAGTGGTTACAAGCGCAGTCTCTGGAAGCAGCCTATCTCATCTGGGTTTGAATTTCTGCTCCATCCCTTAGTGGCTGTATGGCCTTGGACAAGTCCCTTCACCTCTCTGTATCTCAGTTTCTGTATCTATAAAATGGAAATAACAATAGTCTTTATCTCACAGGATTGTTAAGAGCATTAAAAAAATTAACACATGCAAAGCACTTATAATAGTGACAAGCACATAATAAGCTCTGTAGAAGTATTAACTATTAGGGCGTATTTCCTATAATTTCAGAAATTTGTGGAAGAAAGCAGTTTCCTCCCTTTCTCAGAACCCATTACAAACAAAACAGCTAATGTTTATTGAGCATCTCCAGAATGCCAGTACTAAGCATTTTATATGAATTATCTCATAGGAGGTAGGAATTAATTATTCCTACCAAACAGGCAAAGAAACCAAGGATCAGCTGGCTAGGCACGGAGCTAGGTTTACAGCCCAAGAGGGTCTGACTCCCATGCCCATGCTCCTAACCACTGCATTTGTCACCTCCCACGAACTAGTTTCCTTGCTTGTAAAATAGTGGGAAAGCTGCTTGCTCTATTTATCTCACAGGATTGTTTTAAGATCTCAGTGACAATAGAAGAGGCAGAGCTTTAGGTATTTGTACACAGTGCAGGTCCCCTGACAGGGAAACCTGGATATGTCACGACTTTTCACACCTCCATCCCTCTGTACCTGCCCTTCCCCCTCTTCTCTGCTAGTTGAACTCATTTCTTTAAGACTCAGCTCAGATCTCAGCACCCAGATTTCATTCTAACAATGGAGAGATTTAAGCGGGGGGGGGGTGGCACATCAGACTTGCGTTTTGAAATGACTGATGTGGGGTTCCATGCTTAGCACTCTCGACTCCGAAATGACTAACTGCTGTGGGGAATGGAGCGTAGCAGGACCAGGGTACAGGAAAGCCACATAGAAGGTTCTGTAGGAGCAAAGGGAGAGACGGTGATGGAAACGGGGAGGAACGGTGGATTGGAAAGATATTTAGGGTGATGTATTTTAATGTGAGCAGCGGAGAACAGTGAGGTGCCAAAGATGACTCCTAGTTCCTGGCTTGCTCGAGGATGTTTAATGAATGATTGAGAGGCCCTACGGCAGAAGCGTCTCCGACAGATGCCCCCGACCCCAACTCCTTGGCTTCCGAAGCTACATACCGGCACAGGGTGGAAGGGAGGAGGAGGAGAACGGGCACAGGGTCTCGGTCCAGGAGACTCTTCTTTTGGGGCCAGGGGACGTTTCCTCTCACGGCCCACAGTTTCCGCCTTGCTCCTCCACCCCTGCCAGCCGGGATGCGCAGCTCCCCTCTTAGCACCCTGGAGGAGTTGGCTCCTCGCCAGCGTCCGGGGGCGCGGCGCAGCGGCCCACCCCTCCACCCGCAACCCGCCTGGTTCCGGCGCCCACCCCGCCCAGTGCGCTGGAAGGCTGGGCGGCGGCTCTGTCCGTCCCGAAGCCAGGAACCGGGGGCTGCTGGGTGAGTCCTAGGGTCGGGGGCCCCCAGCCGCAGTGCACCTGCCCCGATGGACGGCAGCGGGTCCCCAGCCTCTCTTCCCTGGCGTGCGCCTTCTCGAGAGGTGCGCGTCTAAGCGTGCCAAGCGTGGCCGAGGGTGCCAGGGAGTCAAAGTGCGGGTGCTTGTAGATTGCATCCGGGCTGCTCCGGAGTCGGGGAGTACCTGGGGTGCGGGGACCGAGAGCCTGCGTGTCCCCGCGGCGGGTCCGCGCGGGTCAGCAGGGCGCAGCAAGTGTAAGGGAGCGCGCGGAGCCCGGCGAAGCGCCGAGGGGCCGGGCGGGTCGCGGGGAGGAAGGATGCGCGCCGGGAACTTTTTGCCCGCCCTGGAAGTCCGAGCGATCGCGCCCGCAGGGACTCCCGGTGGCCGCCGGGCAACCGGAGAGGAGCGCGTGTGCCCGCTGCCGCCCCTCCCCCACTTCCGCCTCCCGCCTCTTCCTCGTCCCCGGCTCCCAGGGCCCGTTCGTCCCGAGGGAGACCCGGCGGCGCAGCCCCACCCCAGCCAGCGCGGCCCGCTCCCACGCCCCCGCCGCCGTCTCGCCGGAGCGGACAGACTGAGTCAGCCGGGGCGCCGGGCGCGGCAGGTAGGGGCTCGGCGGCGGCGGGCGCAGGTGCCGCGGGAGGGCGTGGGGACCGGAGCACGAGTGGGACCGCCGGGGGGGGCGCCCTCCGCCTCCCTCCCTTCCCCTGCGGTCGCGGCGTGTCCCCTTTTAGGGAATTCTTTCGCTCTCGCTGACTCCAGTGCGGGTGGGGCAGAGACCGAGAGGGAGCTCTCCCTTCCACTGGCCCCGGCTGGCCGGGCCCCTGGCCGCCTCCTGCCCCCACATCTCTTCAGATCTCTTCACCCCTCTTCCCTGCACCTTAAGTTACATAAACAACTCCCTTCTCTCCCCTACACTCGGCTCCGCGGCTTCCCTGGGGGCAACCCCTTCAGTCGGGTGAGGTTGACGGGGTGAGGTGGGAGGAAAAGCGGTGTCCCGGAGCCCCTGGTCTCCTCCAACTCCCCAACCCTTTCTCGCCCTTCCCTGCCCCCTCTGCTAGAGCAAACAGCCTCAGGGGCCCTGGGTATTTTTAGCGTTGTGACCTGGGCGGCAGCACTAAAAGCCTTTCCCAGGAATTGGCGTCAGTGCCTCCCTCCTCCGCTGCCAGCCCCAGCCACATGGTTTCCCCACACTTCCTTGGCCCTGCCTGGCCCACTTGGGTGTAGGTCCCTTGCCGCCTGCCCCAGCACTGCTGGAGCTGGTCTGAGCGTCCCATACGCCGAATCCAGCGGAGGTGGGGAAGGCAGTCTGCGGAGGATGATGATCTGGTCCTCAAGCTAGATAGTCCCTTGCCTCCAGTGATGGGCTCAGGGAAGGGATTGAGCGAATCCGGAATCCATGATGTTCTGGAAAGCTCCCAGCACAGGGGGCTAGGAGGCCTGGTCTGGATTGCACCCTTCCAATTGCTCCTTACTGACTACTAGGGAGATAAGACAGTGAGATGTATCAGAGGAGAGGAGCTCAAATAAAGAGCTGTGGGAGGCAGAGAAGAGATATGTCCTCTAAATAGCCCAGGGACCAGAGTTTTCCATTTTATAGAGCACCTTCACAAACAGTGTCTTGTGTTGGAGGCAGGTAGGAGGATTACGCCATTTTCAGATGGGGAGATTAAGGCTAGAAAGATGACTTCCTTAGAGGCAGAGCCAAGTCTATGGCTTCAGAGCACGGTTAGGAGGGGATGGTGGTGATTGTGTGTGTGTGTGTGTGTGTGTGTGTGCAAAGAGTAGGGGAGAGGGTGCTTTAGCCTTTGTGTGGGTTTTGAAGGATGGGCAGGAACCAGAGTTGCAACGCTGGAGGAAGGAGACTTTCCTTTCTGAGATTTCTATCCTGTCCTCCTCCCCCCCCCCCACCGTTTGAGGGAAGGCTGGGTCCTCCCCATTTAAGCTGAACCAGTCCCTCCAACCCCTCTCAGAAGGGCATGATACTGAGACTTGGCCATTGGCTGCATTCCCTGAATACAGAGGAGCCTCTTTTGCTGTGCCTGGAACTGGCATCCCCTTTGTGGAGCTAGGGTCAGCCCTGCCTCTGTGTGAGACTTGAAGTTTGTGGTAAAGGACTTTGTTTCAGGGAAAGGAAGGAGGTAGTCAAGTCCAAAGCCTCCAGGCAGCAACCAGAGGCCCCACTGCTGGGATGCTGGCTGCACTGGAGCTCCACAAGCCCAGACCCCCCCAGTGTCCCCTCTTACCTTCATAGCTGTGCTTGCTCTTCCAGGAGCTGACATGGACCCAAATCCTCGGGCAGCCCTGGAGCGCCAGCAGCTCCGCCTTCGGGAGCGGCAGAAATTCTTTGAGGACATTTTACAACCTGAGACAGAGTTTGTCTTCCCCTTATCCCACCTGCATCTCGAGTCGCACAGACGTAAGTTCTAAATCCTGGGGAGAGGGACTCGGGTGGGGTAGGAAGGAAGTCCTGTAGGTCCTGAATCTTGGGAGGCCCCTCCCCTGTTGTTTTCTTGGCCCTCCAAACATCTACGTCCGGGCCTGACAGATATATCTGACCATCCTGTTGGCTGCAGCCTGACTCCCTGACTTGCCCCTTCTTGATCTGCAGCCCCTATAGGCAGTATCTCGTCCATGGAAGTGAATGTGGATACGCTCGAGCAAGTGGAACTTATTGACCTTGGGGATCAGGATGGAGCAGACGTGTTCTTGCCTTGTGAAGATCCTCCCCCAACCCCCCAGACGTCTGGTATGCCCCTCTGCTTCGGGCACTTGGGCCCCAGTGAGTGAGGGTTCTGCAGTGCGGCTGCAAGGCTGGACTGGGGAAGTGGACATGTCGGGGCTGGGAGCGCGCATTTCTACCAACAAAACAGCTGTCTATTCTGCTTTTAGGGAAGTTGACCTTGAGGGAAGCTGGGTTACAGATCCCTAATTCGAAACTCTCAGAATGCACAACCCCACTTAGCCTTTGTTAATTTTGCATGTGTGAAATTAAGGTAATTAATGAATATAATTGAATTAATGTAAAAAATACGATTTTTATACTAGACAGCTTAAGCAGTTTTAGTCATCTTGATATTAATGTTTATTTAGCACTTTGTTAGGTTTTAATACTGTGCTAAAGCATTTTACTTTACTGCTCTCTCAATCCCTACATGTCCTATTAGGACAGGGGATATTAATACCATTTTATAAAGAAGGACATTAGACTCAGAGAAGTTGTCACATAGCCAGAAAGGGGAAAAGTTGGCTCTGAACCATGGGTGTCCAACTCCAAAGCCTACGTGCTTAATTTATAAGATAGATATTCTCTTATTTAAAACTGCTACTATTTTTTGATGGCCTATTATGTGCTACACATTTTATAAGCATTCTCAGATTTCATCCTCGAAATCCTTCTGGAATATAGGTGTCCCTTTTTTACAGAGGAGGAGCAAAGTTCCTGAGAGGGCAAACGACTTGCCCAAAGATGCTCAATAGCAAGGAAGTGATGTAGGTAGAACTTGAACTCTTGACTGATTGACTTGACTCTAGAGCCCACATGTGGTGTAGTGAAGTGGGAGGAACTGGGAGTCAGGAGGCTGGCTGAGTGACTGGTCAAGTCCCTGCCCCTCTCTGGGCCTCAGTGTCTCCTGGCCAGATCATCTCTGTGGATCCTCTGAAGCCCTGTTTGTGGCTCTGACCAGCTCTTCTCTCCGGGCAGGGGTAGACGACCATCCGGAGGAGCTGAGCCTGCCAATGCCCACGCCAGACAGGACCACATCCCGCACTTCCTCCTCGTCTTCTGACTCCTCCATCAACCCACACAGCCCAAATCCCAGTGACGGTGGAGCAGACACGCCCTTGGCACAGTCTGACGAGGAGGATGGGGGTGATGGCGGCGCAGAGCCTGGAGCCTGCAGCTAGCAGTGGGCCCCCACCTACAGACTGACTGAGCTGGCTGTTCTCCACTTGAGACCCTAGATCCAGCCAGAGCCCTTCGGAGAAGACCAGATTCTACTTGCAGTAGGCACCTGAGGGAGGAAAGGATGGTGGGATGGTGTATCTTTCTAGGACTTAACCCGCTCCTGCTTTACTGCTAACTTTTTCCTGCTGCATCCCTCCCGCCAGTTTTTGGCTTCCTCCTGAGGTAGGGCTTGCCAGTGAGGAGATGGAAGATGAGATAGGACAAGAGGCCACTGCTTTTCTTAGCACTCCTCCCTCCCCCAAACTGTCCTGCAGTCTCCTGCTAGAGTCTCCTAAGCCAGTGTCTCTAAATGGACGTGAACTCCTTAACACTCCCAGTGAGATGGTACTCCAGCCATCCTGCTTCCTTACATCCTTTTTGGAACAGGGCATGGTATAAATAATAAATAGATAATAATATACCAACCATTCCACTTCATTTTTCACATTGTACAGATCTCACACCCACTGTATTTCTTTAGCTCCTACCCAATACCATATTCTCATCACTCATTTACTCCATTTATTCAAGAAATAATTATTGAACCCCTGTGCTGGACATTTGGAATACAGTTTTGAACAAGAGGCTGTATCCCTGCCTTCGTGGAGGAGAAAACCACGTAAATACCACAGCTCACAGTGTGATATGTAGTGTGGTGAGGAGTCGTTCTGTTACAAAACAGAGGCATCTTAACCTAGCTTGTACGGTCATTGAAGAGCTGATTTCTAAGCTGGGGTCCAAAGGATGAGCAGGAGTTACCCAGGTGGGATCTGTAATCCAGGCAGAAAGAGCAGCTTGGAGAGACTTTAAATGGAGAGAAATGTCCTGCAGAACTGAAAAACATTCAGCTTGGCTGAATTTTTGAATTTGAGCAGGAAATGAAGGGACAGGTAAGACTGACAAAGGTCAGGTCAGGACATGCTTTGAAGCCTGTATCAAGTTTCAGTTTGACTGCTAGCAAAGTATCAGTGACTTCAGATACAAATTTTATTTCCTCATATGAAAGAAGTCCAAAGTACAGGGCTATGTGGTCGCTCCACAGTCACTGGGCACCCAGGTCCTTTTGGCTCTTTTTGCTCAGCCACCTAAGGCGCATGGCTGGGTTCTCATTGATATCTCATGTCCAGTATGGTTGTTGAGGCCCCAGCCATCATGTGGTTGAAACTGGTGGAAAGCAGGAGAAGAAATTGGGGATGGGCCAAAAAGGCACCGCCAGCTGTCTATTCCCACTTTGAGAAGCATTTTTGGACGTTCTAACCAATAGTATCCACTTCCATCTTATTGGCCGGAACTTGGTAATGTGAGGAATGTTTCCCGGACATTTCATAGACATAGGGACACAGCATTATCTAGAAGAAAGGAGATTCTGGTCAAAAGCCACTTCCAAAGATGCTTTGGAGAGATAATAACCCTTTCGATTTCAGCTACCAATGCTTCTGACTTCTCTGCTTCCTGCCAAACCTCTCAGAAGCACCCTGGCTGCTGAGGAGGCTGGGACCATCCTTTAGTAGGGCGCACTGCTGTCTTGATAAAATCAGCTACATTACTAAGAAACAAGAGAATAGTAGTGATTGGGTAGATAACTAGCAGTTTCCATGTTAACAAATTTGAACTTTATTGGAAGTAATAAAGGATTACAAGTGGTTGAATTGCTTGTTATAAAGATAATTCTGGCTGCAGTGTAAAGATACTGGAAGAGGACAGGCACAGGACAGACGTGATAATCCATGCAAGAGATAATGGTGGCCCAGAAGACGGTGGGGATGGTTAGCCTAACTGGGCTGAGGCAGGAGATAAACGATTAAATGACATTCAGTAAATACGAAATGTCAGTGTTAAACATGTGTAAGACACTGAACTTGGCCTTGGCAATGTGGTAGTGTCAAAAACAAAAAAAGACAGTCCTGCTCTTTGGGAGTTTAGGGTCTACTGGGGGCCCAAATGTCAAATTGCAACTAGGACTAGTGCTAGGAAGGAGTTAATAGCTTATTCAGAGAGGTCACGAGGTGCTTCCCTGGAGGAAGTGACTTTTGAGCTGAGATCTGAAGGATGAGTAGGAGTAGACTCGGGGAGAATGGCTGGAAGGATTCCTTGTAGGGAGTACTGATTGGAGGGGACCAGAGTGGATGCCTGGAAACCAGGAGACAACTGCAGCCATCTAGATGAGAGGTAATGGAAGATGGTGGAGGTAGGGGTGTGTGTGTGTGTGTGTGTGTGTGTGTGTGTGTGTGTGTGCGTGTGGAAAAATGGAAGGGATAAAGAAATATTTAGGAGGCAAATTCCAAAATAGTGGATAGGTGGGTGTGAGAGAGGAAGAGGTCAAGGGTGCCACCATTGCTCCTGCCTTGTACAACAGGATGGTTTGGAAGGTTCTTCCCCTAGATGGAGGGTTTAAGGAGAGAACCAGGTTTGGGAAGAAGGTCATAAATTGGGTTTTGGATATGTTGAGTTTGAGATGTTTTTGAGACCAAGAGGACATTTTGAGTAGGTACTTGGACCCATGAGTGTGGGATGTAGATGAGAGGATTGGGCTGGAAAAATAAATAGATGAGTTATCAGTGTATAGGTGGCAAGTGTAGCCATGGGTGCGAGTGAGCTTGCCCAGGGAGAGTGTGGAATGAAGGGAGCGGGGGTTAAAGGACCTAGCCTTAAGGCACATCAAGTCATTTTTCACATCAGAAAAAATAAGTCATTCCACTTCCTTTCATACATCAAAACACCCATGGGATGAGTGCCCTTCAGCCTAAATCTCAAAGCTCTTTGTGCCATCCAGGCTGAGTGACAGGGCTGAGGTCTTCCCACTAGCCCCACTTTGCTTCCAGACCTGCAGGAGGCCACTGTAAGTGACAGTTCTTAAGGGCTTTTTCTAGCGCTACTGAGAAACTTGTGGGAGTTTTGTGCCCCTTTTTCCCTGAAAGCCTCTGTGTTGAAGTTGAGATCATCCACTAAGCTGGGCCAAAGCCCAGTCTCATGTGAAATTCGGTGGTTTTGCTGGGTTACCACTGGCTTTGCTGCGCACAGAAGACATGGTCTCTGTCCTCTTGTGCTTTCTCTCTTCCTTTGGAGGAGCAAGCTCAACTTCCTGTCTGACTGTGGCTGAGCCTTCTCCTGGGCTGCACCCCATCATATCCGCAGCTCTGCTCTGCAGGGCTTCTCAGCTCTTGGGATCACCCCACTCCCCTCCAAGGTCAATGATGGGAAGCTGGACTGGTGTGGTTGCCGTCAACATATCAATAACCCCAGGCACACAATTCTAAGATCTGTGGGCTGTGGGGCAAGAGCTTGCCTGGGGAGCAGGATCGACAGCCCTCTGGAGGGGGGAATTGTTCATGAGCCTACAGGGAGCCTTCAGTTCAGCTGCAATGAGCCCCAGCCCTGCCTGGGAAAGCCTAGGGTCTGCTGAGACCCCAGGACCACTTCCTGTTTGGACAATGACCTTTTCTTCTGCCAAACCACAGGGGCTTGGCTGGCCTTCCGAGCCAGCATCTCCAGCTGACTGTTTTTTTGAGGCCACACAGGGCTCCTGGAGATGGGGGGATGATTTGGAGCCAACTTTGAGGCAAGCAGCCCAGCTTTCAGTCTCCAGGCCACAGTGTGGCGTCTTCTGTCTGTTGCGTGGACTTGTCATAGACTCTGGAAAGGATGGAAGAAGACATCCTGTAGAATCCTGTGCTGTGGAGGAGATAGGAGGGACCACATCTCAGGGGAAGATTCCCTAGACAGCTCACACTCTAGCAGTCCCCAGGGTGCACAGAACTTGATACTGTGAACAGCACTGCAGTGTGGGGACAACATGGAGCTGTGCAATGATGTTGTCTTGTTTGTTTGCTCATTCAAACATTCTGAGAACCCACTATGTGCTAGCCTCCTTGCTAAGGCAACTGAAATACTAGGCTGGCCAAGAGTTCTCCCAGGAAGAGACATGGCCACAGATAATGGAAATATAATGTCGGCTGTAGCACACTAGAGAGGGAGAAGGCTCTAGTCCTGGCTCCATCACCCACTGTGATCTTAGGCAATTAGCTGAATCTCTGTACCTCAGTTTACTCATCTGTAAAATGGAGATAATAGTATCTACCTCATAGACTTGTTTGAGTAAATGTTATTACTCAGTAGATGTTATCAAGCACTTACTACATTCCAGATTCTACTGTACCTCATCTGTGATCCTTACAGCAACCCTGAGAGCAGGTTTATCCATTTTACAAAGCAGGAAAAGTGACACTCGGGTTGCTCATGCTCGTATGGATTAAAGGTTGGTGTGGGGATTTGAACCTGACATCTAAGCTCATGGCCTTCCTTCTATTCTGTGTCTGGAGAGGCAGGAACACTGGATGTAAGTAGAATCAGGGCATATTGAGATAAAGACACCTTTTTGACACTTCCTCTCTGGTTAGTTAGGGCATATCTTGGCAGACCTGCCAGACACCAAGTTTGGCTCTTCAGAGAAGTATTATGAGTTTTACCAAGAGACTGTGCAAAAAGTCCTTCATGAATGTGTTTCCCATTGGGCAGGTGGGAAAATCAAAACAGAAATTGTTTGGAACTCTTACAACTCAATAATAAAAAGGTAAGGAAGTACAAAAGAGGAGAGGTGGGAAAGATTTTAAGACACTTCACAAAAGAAAATATATGAATAGCTGATAAGCACATGAAAAGATGTTCAACATCACTAGGTACCAAGGAGCTGCAAATTAAAACCACGGTAAGATACTACTACATACACAGCCATGTGATGAAAACCAAAAAGCCTCCCAGATTAAAAACAAATGTTGTGGAGCAATGGGAGCGTGGGGCTCATACATAGTTGGTGCAAGAATGAAATGATACATTTTGGAGAAAGATCTAGCAGTTTCTTATAAAATTAAACTTAAACCTACTCTGACCACTCTTAAATACTTACCCAAAGGATATAATAAGCATATGCTTACAAAGTAACTTGTGTAACAGCCTAGCTCATGAGAACTAGAAGCTTGAAAGAGCTTGGGCGTATATGGACAGGAAAATGGATAAAGTATGGTATAGTCATCCAATGTAATACTACACAGAAATGAAAAGAAACAAATATGCAAGCAAATGAATGATTCTCAAAACATTCTTCCCAGGAAAGAAGTCTTGCACAAAATATACTTACCATATGATGCTTTCATTTATACGAAACTCTGGAACAGATTATTCTGTGAAGGAAAATCAGAACGGCGGTTGCCTCTGGAAGGCAGGGGGCACAAGGACTGGCAAGGGGCATTAGCCAACTTTCAGGGGTTTTACGAATCTTCTGTAGCCTGATAGGAGTTGCACAAGGTTATCCATTTGTTGGACTCAGTGAATGTGCGGAATGAACTTCGGAGTTGTGCATCTCATTGTACGTAAATTTTACACCGAAAGAAAAATGGAAACAAATACTGGACTCTAATGATATGCATGCTGAAATATATAAGGAGAAGTGTACTTATGCCTGAAATTTCTTTGAAATGCATCAAAACATTAGATGAATTGAGGGAGTTATAGACTGATATATGATAAATTAGAGTAAAATGTTAATGGTGGAATCTAGTGACGGGGAAACAGGTGTTCATTCTTTTAACATTCCTGTATGTTAGAAATTTTTCCATAATAAAAACGCCAGTTATTTGAGGGTTTTGCGGGAAAGCCCTGCACCAGAGGGGCTACGCGAGGCTTAGGACCGAGCGAACAGAGGACTAGAAGCGGAGGTAAGCAAGCCCCCGGCCGTGTGACCTCGCAAAAGGAACCTTTTTCAGTATGTTTCTTCATCTATCAGGGAGGCACAATGACATTGGCGGCGCTTGGTATTATTAAGCATTTTCCGTGGGGAAGGCGGGGATCTGCAATCCCGGCCCCTCCCACACCTGTGCCCACAGCCCCTCAAGGTCTCTCAGCGCCTCTTTAGATCCATCAGCCCTGAACTGAAGGGCCTACCCAGGCCGTCCCTCTGGTAGACACACCCCGGCTTCCGGGACGGTACCGGAAGTCACTGCTATGCGCTCTTCCTATTGGAGGGTGGCCCCTCGAGGGGGCGGGATCGCTGGGAGGCGGAAGCAGCCGCAGGCATGGCGGCGGTGGTGCCGCTTTTTCTGCTGGTATTGCTGCTTCTGGGGCCGAGCGGCTGGGGCCATGCAGAGCCCCCACGCGACAGCCTGCGGGAGGAGTTGGTCATCACCCCTCTGCCTTCTGGGGACGTAGCTGCCACATTCCAGTTCCGCACTCGCTGGGATTCGGAGCTGCCACGGGAAGAAGGTGAGAAGAGGGGACTGACCGGAGAAAGGTATCTGTGGTACCTGCTGGCAGTGGGGTGGAGGCAACCAAGCCTTGGCAAGCGGGAACTTCTCCCTGGATGAGGTTCTGGTCCCTGGGCTTGGGGCCCGACAAAGATGGTTCTTACGGAAGAATGGGATAGTTATTGGAGAATCCCATTGTGTCCATGGAGAAATCGAGGTCCGAAGAGGAGCAGTGACTCCTCCTTAGTTATACTCCAGTGCTCTTTTCCGCAGCTCCAGGCTGCCACTCCAAACCTTTATTTAGAACCCTCTGTCAGCAACACTGATGATTGTGCTGTTGTTGACGGTTACCATTTATCCTGTGTGCTGGGCACAGTGCTAAGTTCTGTGAGCGATTACAAGGAAGAAATTGG